TGGATTGTGGACGGTGGATGGTGGATGGTGCGTGGTGAATGTGCGGAAGCATGTCAAACTTGTGAAGCATTGTGTTTTATTATTTATTTTTAACTCGGCGAAACTGTGAGTAAAGATGCGCAATACAATCGAGAAATAACTTCTCAGCATGACAGGAATGAGTCCAATGCTTAAGCAGCATGTCAAATTATCAGTCCGAGCTAATCCACCACAAGAAGTCACTGCCAAGGCCAGCACCTCAGTCAGTTGCACCACATTTTTAATTGTTGAAATGGGAAGAAAAATAAAGGAGTTTAAATAATTTATGGCTTATGTTAATGCAAAACCATCGGATAATTGCGGACGGACGACGGACACCAGACGATGGCGGCGACGAACACAGGCCAACTAAAACAGCAGCTTCATGCAAAACACACAATACGTATACGCAGCGTTGCCGCCTAAACGCTCTAATGGCGCACATCAAAAACATTGCCAATTTTTTCTCTCGCCCGTTGATTAACTCGTCAGAAATGGTGCATAAACAAACACACAATAGATTGGTTGATATGTTGATTCGTAGATATGTAGGTGTGTTTTTTGTGTGTGAAGTCAATATGTGCTCGGTAATAAAACAAACAATGGAGCACCGCAGAGCGGGCTTTTGTCCACTTTGCTACTCTGCCGCTATGTCGCTGTACCGCTCTGCCACTCTGCCGCTCTGCCCTCTGCTAGCCATATGCAAATGACTTGCCGTTACGCACACGCGTCTGAGCATTCAAATGCTAAGCAACTGCGAGCTGCGAGTAGAGAGCAGGGCGTGTCCAAATCGCTCAGAGATCGTCACCGAGTTGACAATTTGCAGACGTGGGAATCTTTTGTTTTTGCCCGCTTGCAGTGTGAGATCAATATCCATCCGATTACTTGTAGATGGCCCACGCGTATCAACTCATAAAATCACAATATATTTAACCTCGCGTATATCGCCCTCTAAGCTCCGATGTTTCAGCTCATCGGCAAAGGCAACAAGTTGTGGGTATAACATTTGGAAATTTAGTTGTCACGCTAAGAATATCATAATTTAAGCGACACGTCTATTGCTGTTGTTGTCGTTGAAGGCAGGCACAAGGTTGACAAACAATCGAATGTGTCTGAGAATTGCAAGATACAGGGACTCGAAGCTTTGAGAAATAGGTAATGTCGTGAACGTCCCTTTTATATTTTAATGAAGAGGTTTGCTAATTACATGATTAAATCGGATGAATCTTGATGTTATGATTTCCATAATCAAATTTAACGATTGTTCATTTGCCATATATAGTATTGCTAAGCATTTGCACATTTTGGGAAAATTTATACAGGGTGTGCCATCTTTTATGTCGGTATGTAGATATTGAATAACTTTGTCATTAGTGAACCGATTGACTTGAGTATACCAGTGTTGAAAACCTCAGTTCAAGAAATTGTACAGAACCAAATTAAATAAAAATATATCATACTTGAAAATTGGTTATTTATTTTCAAAGATATTCAATGTTTACATACCGACATAAAAGATGGCACACCCTGTAGAAATTTTCCCAAAATGTACATAAATACAGGCTAAAAACTATTTCCAACTGCACTCAATATTTCAATGAGTGGCACATATTTGGAATGTAATTATTAATTCAATTTGTGTCCTAGACTAGCATTTCTCGGATAAAACGAACTTTGTCTGCTACAGTTCAAAATAGTATCATTATTGTAATAGTAAGTCTTATATCAATGATGAAAAGTTGAAATAAACACAATGAAAAGATTAAGTTATCATCATCTCCGCTGAAGTTACATAAACTTCACTGCTATTGACCTGAACTTATTATCTGTTACCGTCAGGAAGAAACATCGGTGAATCGCACTGAAGCGATAGCGATATGTGGGAGGGATAGCAATTGAAACATGTTACTGCTTTGGGTTTGCCTCGTCATGCTGATCACATATGTTCCCCTAAAATGTGATCAGTGAAGGCTATAAAAAGTAATGTTGTCATATTTTTAGCATTCCATCGCTGTGAAAGTGTAATTTCAAGTGATGTCTTTAGCTAGAAACTGTCAGAATATGATCTGATTGTTATTTCAAGTACGGGTATTGATTCTGTATATTCTATTAATGCGTTTATGCTCACGTCATTTCGCGAAATAAGGTACAATCTATAATTATGAATTAAGATCCCGCGAAAACTAAATTGCACACTCCCTTAATGTTTTATTCGAAAGTGACCTAAATTTTAGTTTAAGTTCACCCTGTTTTTGGTTGTCGTTTAAATAAAAAATCAAGTTGAAGCCAGGGAGAAAAGAATCTTAGTGATGTGTAGGAATATTACGACGAACGCGTCAATACTTATATTAAAGCTAAAGCCTGTCGAAGTTTTGAAAGACGGAAAGGAACGGCAAATAGATAATCACACAGGTTGACCAAATGACGTGAATATGCCAGAGCAATGAAATCACTTTTTATATACATATGAATGTTTTTGAAAGAGTTCTATAAATCAGAAGGCAGAAGGGAGATTTGAAGGTAACGTTTGTGTTGAGTATACATACGTGTGTATGAATATATGTTTATAAAGACACACGTGACTTCATAAAAATAGCATTTCATGATTTTGTTAGCATAAACTTAGTATATTTTGTTATCGGTTGCTCGTTCAAAGCGTGGGCTGTGAAATGCCGCTGGCAACGTTTAGCTAATGACACGACTATTTTGGCCATAAATAAACGAAATTTTTCGATTGCCGGCATTTAATTTAATTTCTAGCAGTCGGCATTCTTGATTTTGAATCAATTTGTGATCGATTTTTTGCACTAAACACCACTGTTGGTTTCTACACTAATAATAATAATTGATATAACTATGTATGTGTGTGTGCCTGTGTGGGTATGGTGCGGGATTTTGGCAGCCACTATGCTAATGCGGTACGACGTTTTGTTTGGTTCCGGTGTGGCTTCAAATGGTCACCACACAAAAATATAAATATTATTTAATTTAATATGGCCATAATCATGACTTAAAGCGCGCTAATTTAAATGTTAAAGCCAATTGTGTATCAGAAACTATAACGGCCATGTTTGTCTTGAGTCTGTCTTGGCAGCCACGCCCAGTCTCATAATAAAATGATATCGAATGCAAAAAATGCTTCTAGTTTATGATTTTAAATGCGAACAATAAAAAGAAGGAACGAACTGGCAGAGGAAATATACACCGAAAGAAATCGAATTATTTAAATACGTATAGGTAAGTTTATATCAAATATTTGGTCATACTGTAAAAATTATTTCTGGTAGGATATCCATACATATAATTATATATAATTGTGCCATTAATCATCAATCATTATAAGATAAAAATCTTTTTCTTTTAATCCATGCTATGCTATCATTTAAATCTGTAGTCAATTTTAATAATACATACTATCCTTAATATAATTTATAGTTAAATTGCACGCTGTCCATTTCACAGTTTGCTTTTAAATTATTAAACAGCATTTGCATTTATTCGTGTATGTGTGGGTGCGTGTTTGTGTTTTTGGCAAACCATATAGCACGACGTTCAGCTGAAGAGTTAAGGTTGTTCAAAAAATAATTAGGAACGCAGATTTTGGCTGCCTGAAACTCAATACGAATGCCAACGAAAAACATTATTAATTATTATTTAATTTCCACTAATAAGCGTAAAACGATGATGATGAAAAATGCTAGCAGTTTTGAGTGGCTGCTAGCAACTAGAAACTGCTAGCTTCTAACTGCTGTTTATGTTTTATGTTTTTGTTGACAAACTTTTAATTAATCAATGCACATGTTTACGTGTATTCATAAAACGATTGTGAAAGGCAGCAGAAGCGCCCGCAAAATGATGTCACAGATCGACGTTTGGAGAACTATTAAAATTGCTTGACCGTCTGATTAATGTGTAAGGCGTGCTTTTATGGCCTGTTCATGCTGAAAACCACTTTCAAATTTACTTTAAAACTGGCCCGGTGTGATTATGCAGAGAATATATGCGATGCCTGCTAGGCACTTCCTGTCCGCGTATAGCCTTGATACGGCATAATTATCAAAGAAAAAAAATTATTTTATGGCTGCGACTGCGACTGCAGTTTGTGCTACTTTGCTTTGTACATATAGCCTGAAGTAGTTCACTTGAATGTATCTTCAGAGGTCTTAACCATCGGCTGGTGAATGTATTTCCCCACACACACGAACACACACGCTCTCAAACGGAAATGGCCAATACGCCTGCGATGTATGCCCAAAAGCCGTTAAATTTTTGTTTGCCTCTGAGGTCAAGTGCGCGCAGACAACGAAAACAAACAAATGCACGCAGATGAGATGAGCAGACAATCTCCAATCTACAACAAATTGGTATAATCGTGTTGTTTGTCTGAGTGTGTTTGTAACAGAATTTGGCAAGTTGTCGACTGTTTTACGAGTACACAAATAACGTGTACATACGTGAGTTTGTTTGTTTTACTTGGGCTTAGCTATGGCTAAATACGTCTTTATTAGTTATGCGACAAAGTGGCCAAAACGTGTGAGCACATGCCTATGTAAATGGCTACGTTTGCACAGCCTGCTTTAGCGCACAGATTTATGGCCATAATTATGGCAACAACAAGAACAACAACAGTACATAATCACAATATGGTAACAACAACAGTGCGAACAAAATATTCTTTGGCGCGCGTAAAGAAAAAGAGAAACAATAGATGATGAAAAAGAAGAAATAAAAGAATCTCAAATACAAAACGTTGCATAATTAGACAGCGGCGGTACTCCAAATGCCAGTCAGCAGTTTCAAGAATCGTAACGAAATAGTTTCTAAAAATATATTACTGTTAACAAAAATATTATGCAAATGAAACGCAAAAACAATTCGAAAGACTTAGACAACGAACTTCACTTGAGCCCCCAAACAGGGGCGCACAAAGAGATGCCGAGCCACGCGCCTCACCATTCGGAACGCTCTCTGCCAATCGGAGAATGAGGCAGAGGCAGAGGCGACATGGTAGCCAAAAGAGCAGCGCCCTTAGCTCTCTGCTTGGCATGCGTCATAGTCATCAGCAAGTGGTGAGCATCAGCATCAGCATCAGTTATACTTTGCATTCATATTCGTGACGACATTAAAGTGATTGTCTGCAGAGGTTGCCAAGGGATTGCGATCGCTTCTATATGTTTTTTCAACTTCTTTCTAGCCTCGACGTCAACGTTAGCTGAGAAGCCGATGTCGATGTCGACGTCGACGTTGACGTCGCAGTTGCTGCTGCTGTCTTATTTAATTTAAATTTTGATTTGAATTTGTTTTTGTTTCTTTATTTATAACATCGTGTGTGTTTCATCGAGTTTTTGGCGGTCGCCACTGCCGTCGCTTTGGCTCTCCGAGTCAGTCCGAACCGGACGGACCACATACATATACTTGGTATAAATTCCATAGTTTCTGACCAGCTCATCATCATTTGTGCTTTGAACTTCTTGAGTGTAAATTGCTCGTGTGCTCGTGCCCAGCTTCCAATCGAAACGAACCAACAAATTTGCCTAAAACAAAACAACAACAACAACAAAATGGTATGTGAGCTTCAGGACCCCAAGTGTAAAGTCAGTGCGCGAATTTATAAGAACGAGTATGTGCGAAAAAAGGACAGCATTGGATATTTTTATGCGGATACTCAAGCCGTCTTGTGACTTGGTCGCCTCAGTCAAGTGTACAGCTCTATTTTCGGGTCTGACAGGTTCAAGTAGTACGCCACTTCTCCAGTTGAGGGCCACTCACCTTTGCATTCCTTTCGCGCCTATAAGTATTACAGCCGTGCTAAATACAGTGAACCAGTGCTATATTGAATCAATTAACTGAATGATGTGAAGTAGTTTATCTGTAGCATCGAAGAAGTAGTTTTTGTAGAGCAACACTCACGAGCGGCAAAAAAAAAAACGGCAAACCTAGTTGTTCCTAAACATTTTTTGCAACATTGTTGGGCCTTAATAATAATATTTTTAAAAATCATATGGGAATAGTAAAGAAACAAATAGAAAGCCATGTGATGGCAATTGCATCTTCTTTTTTTTTTTGTTAAAAAACAAGAGGACGAGGCGTCCTTTTGCTCGGAAATAAAGTAGAGTTCTTATTTTTAAACGTTTGCTTTGCTTTGATTCTTTGCCCAGAAATTCTACGTGTGCATCGTATTGGCGCTCATTGGTTTTGCGGCTGGCGCACAGTTGCCCGACTCTGCCACACAGGGCCCCAATCCTCAGGACATAGCGACACCCGAACCGGAATACATTGACATCGATGTGCCAGAGCCCGCACCCGCCGCACCTCGTCCCGTGGCACGTGCACCGCTACCACTGGCCCGTCCAGTTGCCCGCCCCGTCGCCCGTCCCGTGCTGGCCCAGCCACAGCCACAGCTCCTGCAGCGCGTGCAGTACCAGCAGCCTCAGTACCAGCAGCCTCAGTACCAGCAGCAACTGCCAGGACACTCGTTCAGCAGCCAGGGTGGCTACCAGTACAGACGCCCAGTCTATGTAAGGCGCTTCTATCGTCTGCGTCGCTATTGAAAACAATAAGAGCGCAGCGCAGCACGTTCAGTAGTTAGTCTAATGTCTATATTATGATATGCAATACGAACTACATACTTTACTTGGCCTCCTGTTACTCACACTGCCACACACTAATTTCTTCTTTTTGCCCACTCTTTCCCTGTCTTTTCCCGTTCCCGTTCCCGTTCTCGTTCCCAACCAACTGCTCACCAACACCACAACCAACACAACACAACACCAACCAATATCTGATCTATATTCCCACTTGGACTATCGATACTCTAGCATTAACAAAGTCGATATCTAATCACACACACCCACTCACGCACGCACGCACGCAAGCACGCACGCACGCACGCACTCCACCCAACTATTTACCTATCGTATCTACTACCTACTAATCAATGCTGTCTGTGGCCGCCCTGTCATGCTCCCACCACTCGTGTACACTATACGAGTACGTCTTACCCAGTTTCCCACGACCACGATTCAAAGCAAAACAGCGAAGTACAAAGAGACAAATGATGTTCTAGAAAACAACACAACAAAAACGAAGATGAAAAACAAAAAGCGAAAATGAAGTATTCAGTTAATGTTGAACTGCTAAGTAAAGTAAATAAACATAAATTATTTGTAAAACCAAAACAAAAAAAATCAAAAAAAAAACAAAAAAAAATCACAAAAAACGAAACAATTATTCAGATATGAATATGAATTTTATTGCCCGCTGGGCGAAAGATGAGACGAATTGTCAAGGTTCCAAGGTGCCAGATTGATATCACCGTCTGGGCATGACTTTAATTATGATATTCACAGCTCATCAAAAGTCATTATAGATATACTAGTATGTGTTGGCCAGTGTAATGAATCGTAGCTCGTTCTGATAATCAACAAAATATATTTGCCAGCTTCCTATACACACATTAATGGCCAATCTATAGCCCCCCACGAGGACCATTATTAGAATGCCGATATTGGCATGGAGTATAGTATTTGAAACAGCGCACAATTTGGATACGGAAGCTGTGCAATTCACACTGCGATCTATATTGGGCGGACTCCCCACAAGTGACCCCTTCTGGGGTTGTGAATAAGATGCGCTCCATTAAAATATTTAATTTGTCAGAGAGTAGAGACCGGGTAGTCAAATTATTTATGCATATTCGTGCATGTGGCCCTACTTCATAAATCTGCCAAAATACTTTCAAAACCCATTAAGTGAACCGGTTGAGTGGCGGGTTCTCAGCCATTGTGCCCGATCTGAGTGTTAATGGTTGTCGGCCGGTGGCTAATCGACCACGAAAGTGTAAACAAATCATTTAAAAGCCATTTCGTGCGGGCGGTCGTCTCGGCCCGATACAATGTGTTGATGATTGATGGATTGATTGCTGGACTATTGTTTCGATTCAATGGCAATCAGTGGCTTTTATGCCCGACCACCATGAACAAAGTAGGTCTTTCTTCTTCTTCTTCTTCTTCGTGTGTCGTGTAATAATGTCACGTTGCCAGGTCAGCCTCAGGTTTGTTGTCAGGCTTCCGCAGTCACCTTCGGACATTTGCATAAGAGCCAATTATCGCTTGACCATGATTTGCTGATATTATTCGGCTGTTACACGCGCACTTGTAACCTGATTGGCTCCGATTATCACCTAAAAGCCACCAATTGAAAATAAGTTCCAGTTGAGTCAGATTTTTGATTATAAATGAATACATGAAATATGTACGATAAGTTCTAATCATAAGCTTGGTAGCATTGTTACCTTCAAATAAATTTAAAATTTGTACAGACGATGCAACTCAAACGCTTATCCATCGAGTGCTTCAACTCATGACTTCATAGTTGCTCGTTTGAGCAGTGCTGAACATTTATTATTTATATTTTATGGTGCTCAACAGATTGCCGAAGTACAAGTACGAGTATATGGAAATGATTATTCATATTTCACACGCCAAATCAGTTCAATTACTCGAAGACATTTCATTAGAACTGCATTTTTTTTTGTTGCTATTCAACGCCGGCGGCATTTTTGTAAATTTGTATAAAAAAGCCGTGAAGCCATTTAAAACTTTACGCTGAAACAGAAAACGTACTTTATCCGTCCAAAGAGCAACACAATATTATTGGGTAAGGTTCGATTGTAGCGAGTTGTCCCTTAATGTCGCCGGAATTTATTACCGAGAGCATCTTACTGTGGCTTGATTCAAAAACCTTTGAAAACAACAACAGTGTGTTGGGGGAGAGCTTTCAGCCTAAATGTTCCAGCGTTTCGATCCTTTTGAGTTCCTTCTATTTCCTCCCTCCGTCGACTGTCTGATGCCAAGCCTCTTCGCATGGGCAGCTACTAAGTAGTGATCTGCTAGTAGGACTGGTCTGAGTCTGCATTCCTATCTCAGGAGCTTCAGTAGGAATTGGCTGAGTTTATGGTCTCTACATGGTACATTGTACGGGCGAGCTTTGTGCTCCCCGCTGCTATGGAGCGTTCTTTGTGAGATATGTATGTTGATTGGACTAGATCTGTTAACTCCTTTACCAGAGTGTCCACCAGCTCGTTGCCGCCAATGCCTCGTTGGCTGGTAATCCAGTAGATGTGCATCGTTTTCTCGGGTATGCTGTCTAGCGCATCTTTACTCATCAAGACAGACAATGGACGCCGGAAAGGATTCAGTAGCATCCTGGAGGATCTCAGCGCCCCTATGCATCATTGGTTTAATTTGGTTTAATTTTATTGTGGCTAATCATACTTGTACAATAAATAATACAAGTAAAATAACAGACGGCAATTTGTTTTTGAAGATTGGAATTATTCGAAAACACTGTGCGTGTTTTATTTTCAACGAGCATGGTTCAAAAATAAACGAGCTGGCTAAAAATATTCACTAATTTTGGCAATAAGCCGTTTTGTTCACGGTGCCCAATCGTTTAATCAATTTTAGCTGATCGAGCCACGAATAAAACACGTATATTGTTATTGAGCAATCTGTAGAAGTTTATGAGTTGTTGCTGCTACTTAGAAAAGAATTTGGCTCGCTTGATTTTTTTGCAATCACTTGAACGCTCAGAAGGTTAACAGTTGCTAAGCATCTAATAAAATGTTGATTAATTTCTAGACAATGGCGGTGAAGAATGCGAAATCAAAGTTATGTTGTTTTTTTGTGCTAATGAAGATGCGCCGTTTACTTTTTGTCCGATTGAATATATGATGTTAGAAATGTAATAAGAGCAGCAAATGAAGATGAAATATTTTTAAAAGGGTATTAAACTGGTTTCAATAAGACCGTTGCTTAAAATGCATTACTGTATTGTTACTGACAAGTTTTACATTTTAATAAATGCAAAAAGTCAGTTGGTCTGTTTATGTTGAGGGAAAACTCAATCATAATATCTCTCTATTTAAAAGACTAAAACGTTTTAAAAGAAAACAACCTTTACATTCTTCTGTATTCTGACTTAAAATCAAAATGTTGGCAAGTGAACAAAAATACTATGTGATTTACTTTCCGAGACCCTTGGGTTCTAACAGGCAGACGGACATGGATAAATCGCCATGCATTGTGGGGTGTGTCAACTAGTTTACCCTACAGGGTTTAAAAATACTCAGAACTATTATTGATATTTGTTTTGAACTAAAAAGCAACAGTAAATAAATAACTGAAAGATGATGCTGCAAACTAGAAATTAAATTATGATTGAACTATTGGATCCATCCCGTAATATAGCCCAAAGTCCCATCATAACGATAATGAGTAAAACATCAGAAATGAATTTGAAGGAGGCACGCGATAGAATTTCGAAACACATATTTCAAACTTGATATTATTGATACATTGTCTCCAGCCGTTTCTTATACTCGTAGCATATCTTGAGTTTATTTATAGGAAATGGAACAAGTTCCTCAACATTTAATTGACTAAAAATGTTGCGTTCAAACTTACATTTACTCGTAGGTACATTTTCAAAGGAATAATTTAGACTGCACTCGTAAGTTATCTGAAACATGCACTAAGATATAGGGATTAGATACAGCTTGGAGATTTTAATAGCATAAAAGTTAAACAAGAAAGGAAAATATCAAATATTTAGCACATGCATAAGTGTTTATGTGCAGTTTCAATCAGAATCGTGTCTATGCGGCCTTATTTAATTCAGGCATAAGTCAAAACAGCACCAACGGGCAGAGCTTGGGCAGAGATTATAACTTTCTTGATAATTGACCTAAAGGCGAGGAGTGGGGTAGCCGGTAGGATCCAGGCCCCAAGTACAGAAACAGAGTGCAGCTTTGAATGATTTTATTGATTTTCTTTGATTTATTTACTGCCCATTCACCAACTCGTGAAATTCCTGAAAAGTTAAAAAATAATATTGTGGAATTAAATTGTGAAATTTCTGAAAAGTTAAATAAAAATATTGTGGCCGCCCCCCTCTGCGATTCTCATATCAAGTAGGCAAAAGGAGAATTAAATTGTGAATTTTCTAAAAAAGTAAATAATGAATTTGATAATTTCAATTGTGCATTTTGTGATAAATTAAATTATAATATTGTGAGCGCCCTCCTCTGCGATTCTCTCCTTAGAAAATCATTAATAGCGGCGGGTGGCGGGTGCATCAGAAAAAATGTACAAAATCGTCCATTCTCCGACTTAGGAGAATTAAGATATTCTAGCTCTAAAACTTTGTGAGATCCTTGCATTCATACAGACAGATGGAAAGACGGACTGACAGACGGACATGGCTTTATCGACTCATCTTATCAGCCTGATCAAGAATATATCTACTTTGTTGAGTCTACCACGCCTTCTTTGTGTTACATAAATTCGCACAAAACTAGTATAGCCTTTTACCCTTTGGGTACAGGGTATAAAAATTTGCTACTTACCTTTTCTCTTTAACACGCTTAAAACCACGTTCTTACACGACAGAAGTTGAACAAGTTTGAAATATGGAATATGCCCCAGAATGTGCAATTAATATAAGCCATTTGGATTAATTAATGCCATAGATTAGGATATAGTGATTATGT